AAGTGACGTGACTGACGTCACTTGCCTTGCAATCCACCCTACAGAGCAACCCTCTAATCTATCCTCAAATCCAACATAGGTTGAGGATTTCATGAACATGGTAACCTTGACAACCAAAAAACGCTGTCATGACAAAAAAGAGCAGATGGTTGACGTGCTTTCTTGGCAAGAAAGCATAACAAAATTTGCCCAGCTCAAAAATTCAAACAAGGCGTGTTCAGTCTGCATGCCAGAACAAATCTTCCCCGGAATGGAGTGGCCTACTGAGTCGGAATGAATTAAACCGGCCGTTGTGAGCAAAAAAGTGCGAAAAAGGGAATCATATCATGGCGTTGAGAAGTGTCGTTTGGTAAATCAGAATGCTGGAGATTTCGATCACAAATGTTGTACAAAGTCCAAGTATGATGGTGAATGCTCTTTATCAAATTGGATTATTCACTCTTAACAAATAGAGCATAAGCCTCAAGAATAACATTCCTAGACTGTGGTGTGGTACGTTTATTTGCAATAAATGATTGCGATTGAGAAAAATTGTTCTTCATGAAATAAGTGAGCGTAAGGCTTGAGAAAGCGGGGTTTGCTGAAAGCATCTTGTCGCAGTCTAATCGCCGTGGCCACAGTGACCAAAACTCCCCCGCCAGTTTAGCGATCGCACAGCCTATGACAGACCTTGGCTTGACACCGCCGATCGACATTTTAGCTCTCGCTGATTGACCGCAGACTAACATGGCTCAGGCGCACCCACACACCCGTCGATGGCTGGAGAACAGCAGCGGATGGTTCTCGGCCCGGCGGAAAATTTCTTGTAAGTAGCTTCTAAGTTACTTGTACTTTTCCCGCCTAAGAGCTTGCTTCACTAGTTATATCCCCTTGGGGGTGTAGGGAAGTCCAGTTGTGAGTCCATTTGGTGATCGTAGTAGGTCGCTCACTTGCTCGCAGGTGTAAACTACGCCCAGCGTCCATTTACTGGCAGCCAACTCTCATTTGTGGCCCCCCAGAGCTAGGCCCTGTCTAGCGACCACACCCCAGTAACCGCCTCTACCGGCGGACTAAACCACGTGAAGGTATCCGTGTGTGCAACTTCGCACACGGTAACCCGGCTCCGCTCCGCTCCCACCATCGCTGGCCGGATGAATCTCCGCCACTGCATCTCCGAGACGAGGCTCTGTCTGCAACACCGTAGAAGGCCGCCAGCACCCAGCAAGCCCCTGACTTAGGGAGGTCGGCCCCTTACCTCTCCCTCTCACCTATTCTCCGCCCTTCCCCTCTGCCCCTATCACTCTCTACTCTACTCTCTTACCCCACGGTCGAATGCCCCACGGATCACCGCATAATCACCTCCAAGGTGAAACATCGTCCGAAACTCCACTGGAGTCCACGAGATAAATGACCCTCGCATAAGCCGAATATTGCTCTGTTGTCTTTGCTTTTTGCTTGTTCTTGCTTGCTTGCCTTTGTCTGCTTGATTATGTTTGTAATTGTTGTAAGCTAAATACCGTTCTGTTGAGTTTTTCTGCTCACCGTGCCTAGTTCAGCAACCGGTTAGCTTTGAGAGGGGCGGGAAACTCTGCTTCGCGCCTCTCTACCCCTCCACCATCTCTCCGCCTGCCCCCTTCAAAAAGTCCTGCGGCGAGAGCGACAGCGATCGCGTAGGCGGCCCAGGCTATCTCGGCTCGTTCTCCCATTATAAAAAGTCCATAGTGGAGTCCGGCAGCCGTCTGGGAGGCCTGAACGGCCCTATCTAGGAGCAGTACTGATCACCCCCATGAGGGAGAAGGGGCTAGAAAAGGCGCCCTAAACAAGTGCTGGGGTCACGTCCTCTGCGCGCTGACTGTGGCTCGGAGGACGACGCTAGGGGCTCGGGAACTGGTGCGCTACAAGGTGGACATCGCTGCACTCAGTAAGACCCCCTTCTCCGAACAAGGCCAATCGGAGAAGGTGGATGCTGGCTACATCTTCTTCTGGAGCGGTCGTCCCACAGCAGAGCGACGGGACGCGGGCGTCGCCTTTGCCATTCGAAACGAAATTTTGGGAAAACCGTTTTGTTTGCCGCAGGACATCAACGATCGCCTAATGAGCCTCCATCTGCCTCTCCGGGGAGGCAAATTCGGCACCATCATCACCGCCTACGCTCCGCCGATGACCAGCCCCGACGCCGCAAGAGACAAATTCTACGAGAACTTGCACGCCCTCCTGGCGACCGCGTCAAAGGTGGATAAATTGATTGTCCTTGGTGACTTCAACGCTTGCGTCCGCATAGACCATGCTTCCTGGAGAGGTGTGCTAGGTCCCATGGTCTCGACGGCACCATTGACAATGGCCTACTCCTCTAACAACCCAGCGCAGAACATCTGTGCCGAGGCACCAGACTATCGTGCACTCACCTACTTGTTCATCATTCTTGAGCTTACTGTTTGTTTACCTGAATGAAAGAAACTCGGCCCAACGCGACGCGTGTGGCATATGTTGGAATATCAGGTCGTTTGGCATCGAATTATTAATTTTTGCATACTCCTGTCGTGTCCTGATGTCCCTAGTCTGAGATTGGCAATCATAGCCTTCGTGTTCACAACAATGGTGACCCTTTCGACTGCCGACGCTTACTCCCTTAATCTGTTGGCTTAGATTTGCTGCTTCTATTTAATCCGTTCTCCTTGATTCTGTCTGCCAACATGCCTTCTACGGATTCTAATAATGCCGCAACTTCTCGCAGCGCAGTTGTTTTGTCCCTCCCAGACTTATGGCAACATGCGCCAGAACTTTATTTACTCCGCATTGAGGCAACGTTTCACTCAGCAAAGGTAACACGAGAAACCGACAGGTATTACAAGTTGGTCGAGGCTCTTTCTTCTATCATCCTTTCCCAAGTGTAGACATTCTTGCGTGATGCCCCGACTGATGTTCCCTATGCGAAGCTAAATGTTGAACTTCTTCGCCTGACCTCAGTCGCCGATCGCCAGCGTTACCACACACCCATAATAGAAGAATCTTTAAGTGATCGCAAGCGGTTGGAACTCCTGTGTCGTATGCGTCCTCTTATTAAGAACATGGCCATTGACGATAGGTTCTTTAAAGAGGTGTTCTTAGAACGTCTGCCGACATCGGTTCAAACAATTTTGGTCACCGGCTCAGGTGACTTAAACGTCGCAAAACTAGCGAAAAAGGTCGATCGTACGATGGAGGTTGAACGTTTGTCATCCACTACGGTTGCTCAGGTTTGACAGCCTCTCACTGCGTCCACATCTCACCTGGCCGAGCGCAAGACACAGATTGCCCAATTGTCGGCGACTGTTGCCGCTTTGCAACTGCCTCTATCTGCCGGCCCATATCAACGTACCTTTAGCGCCGTGACCGTCGTCGTTCCCGCCCTCGCTCCAGGACCACAGACATATGTTGGTATCATGTAAACTTCGACGATAAAGCGCGCCACTGTGTCCCGCCCTGTTCCTTCAAGTCATCTCAGGGAAACTCCTCGGGCAAAAAACAAATGTGGCGGAGCTCTCTGCCAACTCTACCCGTTGCACATTTTACGTCTATGATAATACGACTGGTAGACGTTTCTAAGTCGACACTGGCACTCAGGCTGCTTCGCCTGACCTGTCCGCGCTCCTCAGAGGACGAAACCTGTAAATCGGCTAGCGATTTCGGCACAAACATATACTCACTTTCCAGAGCAGAATTGATGATTAGAAAATATGCATTACCTAAGAACCTTGTTTTATGTGGATAAGACCCCTAGGAACTATCAAAGAACGGAATTTCTTCTATAAAAATCAGTACTGCATGGCGGTAGGAACGATTGGGAACTAGGGTTATCGTGAATAGCTGAGTATGAATGAAGTATATCGAGCAGGTTAGACTAAACTCTGCAACAGTTACAATCGGACCGGCCACTCGACCGAATGTCAGAATTTCGGCGTGAATAGGGCACACAGTCAATTTGACGTGTCAAATCCACTGCAGGCGATCGGGTTAATTGGCTATGCAATACGAAAGGCCTTCGTACCTATGAGCATTTACGGGTAGATGGTAAGCTTCAGCGACACTATTCGCTTAATATGCCTCGACATGCTATCACAGAAACATTACGAAGTGAATTTTGAGTGAAGAGACGATTGACACTTTTTAGTGTCCCTCGGGGGGCATTCAGTTGTTAAGAATAGCTCAAAAATCAGACCCAAGGGATCCGAAATGGCAATAATGGCCCCGCATCTCCAAAACCTACCGGAAAAGCATAACGAGTATGTACTTACTGTCTATTGTACGGCGTTGAAAATAACTTGACGTTTATCTTGATTGGAGAAAACTAGTTTACCTAGCCGAGAAAAAGCGCGCCCTCCACCATTAGAACGGCGGGGAATAATGGCCGGTGAGCACAGATCGCCATCCCAAGAAAGCTAGAACAAATAATTAACCTGGAGGGTCAATGCTTGTTCACCTTTCCAACACATCCACCCTAACATAACGCATAGAACGTCATCAGTCACTGCTCTTCTACTACCCTTGAGGGTATAAACAGGACCCGGTGGTACAGAAATTGATCTAATTCTCCATGCATCGAACCAAACGAGCGCGTGAGTAATAAATATTTTGGAACCGAATGGGTTAGGAGCAAATTACTTTGCCAGCTTCATGTATACATGCGTGATCGGACTGTAGTTTATGAAAGGAGACCTGACCCTGGCCGCCTGCAATAGCTTCATCTTCAGCACCATCTCGCATTGTTTGACGTTAACGTCCTGATAATAGATCAGATAGGAAAACAGTAATTGATATGTTTAAACAGGAAGTTTGCAGTCCGTCTAAAAGTCTAGAGGTAAATCCCAATCCCAAATGACTTAGAGCATTCCAACCGCGGCCATGAGGGCGTGAGTCCGCAGCTCAGAGAGCTCGGAGTTTAAACCTCGGGCTTTCGCAGCCTGGCGCTAAGACACGACTGGCAAGCAAACTAGGAGTGGTAATTTACGCTGCCATCCATTTAGCTGGCAGCGCGTCTTAACAACATTAATCCACAGCCGAAATGCGTACAAACACATGAGCGAAAACTGATGGCAAAACAGGGATTAAGGCGATGACAGAACCGAGCACTCGGAATGACAAGCGTAACGCTTGGGGTCGCATTATTTAATATACAGGTTTAGGATGAAAAATGTCGGCATCGAACTCGATGGCAGTGGCGAGGCGGCGAAGTCACAAGTTCTATACAAGCCGAGAACAACGAGAGGAATAACAATCCACGAGGGCTAAACGCAAGCCGAAGCTTTGAAGTGAGAAGACGGTGGCAGAGGAGTTACACAAGACGGTCATAA